GCATGTCCCTTCCCCACCCTGCACTGCATGACAGCCACTTCCCCCCCCCAGACAGGGGCAGTGAGACTTACCTGCTGATCTGCCAACCAGGCAGACCTGCCGAGCAGCATGCAGCACCTCAGCTCCGCCACAGTTTTTCCATAGGGCATTAGGTTGCATTCCTCCTCTACCACCATGCTGATTTTTATGGAACTTGCAGAAAATTGATTACCCTCAAGACTTCTATCCTCTCTTGAACTTGAGTAAAATTAATTACAGGTTCAAAAGTTATTGAAAATGAAGGGCAGAACAGATGGACAGACAGATGGAATGACTGCTTATGTTGTTGCCTACAGAAACAGGCTAACAACGCAGGAATATCTTGGTAGTTTTGGTAATTTCCTCCCTACCAGAAAGACTATTAAAATATTCAGATTATATGCTTAGAAGGTAGAAAGTTAAAACTACACACGTTAACTCATTAGTTTCTATTTCATGCATACTGACAACAGTCTCTAAGACTGAAAAGGCATGGTAGGATTTTAAAGCTAGAAGGGCTCTCCATAGTTGTCTAGACCTTCTACATAACACAACTGAAAGAACCTCATTCAATTTCTGCATGAAGCTCATTGTTTCTTAAGATGTAGTGTATTGTAGAAAGCGGCTTAAATCACAGCTTAAAGCCCACAAGTGACAAAATCTAGTATGTCTCTAAGGTAAGTTGGTCCACGGGCAAGTTACCTTCAGTTACAGAGTTGTCTTTGATTTCTTGTCTGCTACTGTTTGGTATAGCTTTAACTATTCAAATTTAGTCATGCCTCTTACACGGGTATTTGGATACTTGAAGTCACTCCCAATCTGCCACATCTACAGAGCTAAAGACTGAAGAAAACCACCTCTTATCATGTACTGCAAACCTAAAATAATTATTTCAGCTCTTGATGCCTTTACAAATTATCAGTAGTATTTTGGACATTGTGAATAACACTATTGGAAAAAGCGAGATAGCTGTTTCATTACAGCTACACAGAAAGAGGAACACTTGCCTCTCATATACTATTTCCTACTCACCCATCCTCCTGGCTGTAGCATCATAATGGAAGAATATGTTTAAACAATTTCCTACTGTGATTCTCATACCTTTTTCCAAGGCATTGACTTCCTATAAACTGTCTCTATCTTGTAAATATCATAGAATCATAGGATAGTTTAGGTTGGAAGGGACTTTTAAAGGCCATCTAGTCCAACCCCCCTGCAATGAGCAGGGACATCTGCAACTAGACCAGGTTGCTCAGAACCCCATCCAACCTGACCTGGAATGTTTCCAGGGATAGGGCACCTACTACCTCTGTAGGCGACCTCTGCCAGTGGTTCACCACCCTCACTGTCAAAAATTTCTTCCTTAAATCTAGCCTAAATCTATCCTCTTTTAGTTTAAAATCATTACCCCTTGTCCTATCACTACAGGCCCTGCTAAAATTTCTGTCCCCATCTTTCGTATAGGTCCCCTTTAAGTACTGGAAGGCTGCAATAAGGTCTCCCCACAGCCTTCTCTTCTCCAGGCTGAACAACCCCAACTCCCTCAGCCTGTACTCACAGGAGAGGTGTTCCATCCCTCTGATCATTTTCGTAACCCCCCTCTGGACCCACTCCAACAGGTCCATGTCTCTCCCGTGCTGAGGGCTCCAAAGCTGGACGCAGGACTCCAGGTGGGGTCTCATCAAAGCAGAATAGAGGAGCAGAATCACCTTCCTCAACCTGCTGGCCACGCTGCTTTTGATGTGGCCCGGGATACAGTTAGCCTTCTGGGCTGTGAGGGCACATTGCCGGCTCATGTCCAACTTTTCATCCACCAGCACCCCCAGGTCTTTCTCCATGGGGCTGCTCTCGATCCCTTCATCCTCCAGCCTGTATTGATACTGGGGGTCACCGCAACCCAGATGCAGGACCCTGCACTTGGCCTTGTTGAATCTCATGAGGTTCACAGGGGCCCATTCCTTGAGCTTGTCCAGGTCCTTCTGGATAGCATCCCGTCCCTCAGGCATGTCAACCACACCACTCGGCTTGGTGTCATCTGCAAAGTTGCTGAGGGTGCACTCAGTCCCACTGTATGTCACTGATGAAGATGATCTGCATTTTTTCTTAATCTATTCCTTAATATTTGCATGTATCAAAAAGTGTTAAAAATTCACCTCTTTTGAGGAAGTTACTCAGGTTAGCCAATATCACTGAACTCATGCAGTCACAATGTGCCATTTAAGTATTACAGTAGTGTGTGCAAATGTGAAGATATACTGGTTTTATAAATAATCACTTGGAAAAATCATCAACCACCAGTGAAGAGATTTGAGAAGAGCTGCATTAATCCAGTCCCTGTTGATAACCTAGAGTAAGTGATTTTTAATATAGCTAACATTAGCAAGGTTCATTTCATGCAGTACTAATTTTATTAGAATGCGGGAGAAAGTTGTGTTTTGTATACATTTGTCAGTGTCATTACCTTTATCAAACAATCTTGTGACTGAATAAAAGGCAGGGAAAAAATGTCTGGTTCACAAGAATTTATCTTCCATAAGATTGTATCAATTAGCATTAATCATTATTTTTTACATTAGGACCAGGCTCTGAGCAATTGTGTCCCCCATCAGTGTTTCACTTCTACTTGAAATCAGTGGTAGACTAACCATCCTCTAATTCTGTAGTTCCTTATATAAACCTTTCTAAGATAACGGCACAACATTTCATAACCCAGTAATATTGGTTTCTTCACCACTACCACCTCTAGAAACATTAAGGCGGCACCTTGCAGTTTGCGCAGTGTTCTGTACAGATCACGTGAATGTGACATATCAAAAACACCCAGTGACCTCAGCATATCTTTCACATTGTGTAGTAAGGGCTATTAAGGTTACAGCAAAACAGACTTAAAATAGAAAGACTGAAAAGCCTCTGACTGACCAAATATCCAGGTTTGGGCTAGTTCATGCAACCACACTTTCTGTTCATAGTTACTCTCCTACAAACTTGCACGTTTTTATGGGCTTTCAAACTCAAACTATAGGTCCTCCACCAAAGCAGTCGTTTACTCTCTTGCTCATAATATTCACCCAGACAAGTGTTTCCACAGTACAAAGATAGTAGCATAAAACTGAAAGCAAAGTCAATCTAAAGGTTAGCCACTGCCCAATGGTACAGTACTCCTTTTCCCTCCTCCACCTCCAATCTTACAGGGTTGCTATCTCCCTTATCCCAGCACTGCAGGCTGCCTGTCATGCCAAGCTGATTCAAGAAGTTAAGTTAGGAGACAAATAAACCTATGGGGGGTGGGGGAAGGAGGGAAAAAAAAAAAAAAGGAGAGAGACAGAAAAAGAAAAGGAAAATTCTTTGCCTCTTTAGCTCCCTGAATAGGCTCACTGTGGGGTCAGATGAGGTCCAGTGCAAAGGAGGTGATGGGAAAAACAAGTTTGGAGGCAGAATTGGACAAGAAGCCCTTTTTGGCAGCAGATAAACTGCTAATCTGAGAAACGGAACTTTCTAAGTTTTACAGTGGATAGCTTCAACTGTCAAAATGCTTCCAAAAGGTGCCTTCAAAGGAAACGTGCAGCTCACAATGGGTACAATGCAGGTACCAGAGAACAGAGAAATCATGGCACAAAAATTTAAGGAAATAAAGATATAATGACTATAAGATATAGAGTAACAAAATGTGAAAGTACTGTACTTTGGTCTCAGGATTCAGCCAAAACACACATCATCAGACTTATGCCTTCATAATAGTGACTTTGCCTCTTACGCATAAGCTGCAGTGCAGATTTTCTCCAAGTCTGCTATTTCTTCTCTGCTGTGACCTGGGCAAACACTTTGACAGAGCAAAATTAAGCACACCTCACTCAAACACTGAGTTTCCCACTCGGGCACAGTTCTTTCCACTGACAAATCCTCCTGACTGACTTTTAAAATACGTGCCCCGAAAACATAAGACAGAAAGGTCAGTTTGTGGGTCTCTTACCTTGATTCTTTTGTCTGTTGGACAAGACTGGAGAGAGGAGCCATTACACTGAGTTGAATCTGTTCCTGCTCTTTGGGATTGGCCTGCCACCTTTGGCAGGGGGTAGCCACTTCCATTGGGAATCTTTCCAGCTGGTGGTTTGGAATCACAGCCCTAAATTAGGGGAAAACAACTTGTCACTGCCTTTTTGTCAGTGATGAATGAGCATGAATCAGGGTCAGAAATCAAATCTTCATCGTTAATCCTTTTGTACTTACAATGCAAATCAGCAGCTCTGGTACCCCAGTGTAATAATGACAACTGCCAGAAATGAGATGGGTTTCAGAGAGCATTGTGACATCTGCACTCTGAGACAACAAGAACAAAGACCTCCCCAGTCACCAAGAGAAGGAAAGCAGAAAGAGAGAGGAAGAACTGGAGTCATGCCCCGTTGGCATGAGCCAGGTTCCACTGGAAAGACGAGGGACTGAGCCTGCCACTCTTGCTGGTAGCTGCTGCCCAGAGAAATACAACTCCATCTGGGCAGGGGATGGGGGAAAGAGAGTCTTGCTCTCCTCAGTGCATCAGAATAACTAAGTCTAGAAAATTATTCTATAGCTGGGACTGTCAGCTTCCGAACAACAAAATGTTCATCTCAGACCTCAGTCTCTCTGTAAATGAGAAGATTAAGTTCCTTTCAGACTTTAAAGTCTCCCGTTGAGTCAAAGTAACACCTAATCACTCTTACACACTGCCTGACCTGCAGTTTCACCTCTCAAAAGTCATGGCACAGGACTGAACAGTGTATAGGAGTTGCTGCTAGAAGTTGTGCAGATGTCTGAGGACTAAGCTGCTCTCCTCTGTCTTAGAACTACCTCCTGGTATCTCTGCCTACGTTGCCCCTTTGCAGCTGGCTGACTCTCCTCTGAACGATTACTTAGTATTATCTTGGCCAACCAAAAACCCCTGCTACCACACAAAGTTACCCAAACAAACGGCTGGTCCCGGCCATACCCAAGAAGAATGGGCTGGTCTTTGTCCTGACTGAGGACCCAGAAGGGGAGTGAGTCACCATGGCTCAGTGGAACATGCATCAGCAAGCTGTCATCCCTCAAAGCTTACTTGAGCAAAAGTGTCATCTGCAGAGTGCTCCAGCTCCCACTGCCCATAAAAGGGGAGCTCTCTTTTACATATACCACATCAAGAACAAAACCAGCCCAAAGGTGAGAAATCTCAGCTAAAACCACAAAACCAAAGCCTGGAGATGAAACACCTTTTTCTAGAGCCCAGTGTCAAAGAAGTGGCAAAAAGCTCCCAAGGGGCATTGACAAGCTACTCACAGCTCCAGGATCATTTGCTGAGCCTGTCAGATAGGGCAGATGAGGTGTTTAGTAACAGTGCTCCAAACATAACAGCACTCCCTCCCCTCTGGCTGCTAACTTACCACACCAGGGCACTCCTCCTCTTCTTTCTCTAGGAAGATCTTCTCTAGTACCAGAAAGGTCAGGAAACCAGTGATCACCCACAGACCCAGAAGCTTCTGCTGCTGAAAGCTCTGCCCTTCTCCTGAGGGACAAGAGAGAAATCTTCATGTCATTATCAAGTAAACTGTATTTCCCACAAGTGAACCCACCCCAGACAGTTTAACCAGCAGTTCCAAAACAAGAAACAGCAACGAAAACACCTCTTGCGATGAATAAAGAGCAAACATCTCACAGCAAATTAGTTTAACTTGCTCATTCCTGATCTGAGATATCCTCATCTCAGGATACTCAGACTGAGAGCCTCCACCCCTTTTCCTTCAATAGTGCAATCCAGAATATTTCCTGACAACACAGGGAATTTCCCTGAGCTCCATAGGCAAGTGAAGATTATAAAAAATCCTGCAGCTGCATCTACTGAGCAGCAAGCCCTGACATGAAATCTGCCATTCGTGAAGCTGCAGACTCACCTTCCCCTTTCTGCCACACCTGGGCAAGTTATTAAGCCCAAAGCTATAAACTTTCTTTTCAATTACAGACAAGCTTGTGAGATAATCCTCCGTTCAGCCTGGCTGCAGGAATGGTGATTGCATCGCAGTGGAAGAACAGAATGACTCTGCAATGGGTCTTACATGGGTCAAGGAAACCTTTATGCTTCAGGACAGTCTGGCAGAAGCAAACAAGCTAGAGTAGGAAGACAGAGTCATCTGTGAACCACTGTAGAAAGGGGAAAAAAGGGACAACAGGTTCTGCTGGCAGTGCCAGAGCCATGAGGGAGAAGAGGACCAAAGGCCCCGTGGATTTGAAATCCCAGGGCTTTCAAAACTTAGGACACCCTTTTCCCCCGTCTCACATTTGCAGTGGGGAAATGGTTTCTTGGTTTCTCAACAGTTGGGATGCAGCAGCACTTACCTTCTATGCTATCGGTTTGCTAAAGCAGAGAGATACAACCACTACAGGTTTCAACAACCCTGGCTATCAGAGGGGTGAAGGAGATACACCGATAGCACAAGCTCTATCCCAACCCAAACAGTATTTAGTTCACTGGCGAACACAGGTTTCCTGTCACCTGCATTTCCTTTTTCTCCCCCTGCCCCATCTTAGTTGTGGCTCTATGGATGATTTTCCATGACTTCTCCTTGAGCAAAGATCAAGAAGGCAACATATTTGGGCTCCCACAGATCAAAGTAGCCAGCAGAGGGGCCCCAGCTACTCCCAGGAATGAAGCTCTAGGAATAACACTCTTATAGGGTCAGATTTATAGACAAGATGCATCTGATGTGGCAGAATATCCACCTGAGATGGTGCACATGTTCATGTACCAGACCACACACACATTCATAACACCCCATCAGGTTAAAGAAGCATTCCCTTTCCTTACAGAAAGGACAAAGGAAAATGAACAGAGATTTACAGGAGTCCAAGGCAAGATAGGAAAAGCTGATAGATAGGAAATCCATTGCAAGTTACTAAACATAAAGAAAATTTGGCCAACTCAGGAAGCCTCCAATCTCAAAATCTTTGGAGGACTGTAGAGTGCAAAGATGAAGTATTACATGTGTTTTTATTATTCCTATATACTTCCCTAGGCATTTGCTTTTACACATTGTTTGGAAGAGAATACCAGCCTAGACCAGTTTTTGGGCTGACTCAGCCTGGCTGGAACGTACTCAAAAAATGTAGCAGTAGGCATAGCAAGGACTACTTCTAGGCACATAAAGCTTTCATACCTGTTGTTGCACTGCATGTGTAGGCCCAGGCTTCGGGCAGCAGGTGCAGAAACACATTCCCCAGTAGTCCACCAATTGCAAAACTCAACAACTGCTTCAAACGGTGTGATCCAGCTGAAAAAAAAAAAAAAAAAGAAACAAAATCTGATCACAAGTCAGCTGGGAGCCAAAACATCTCCAGCTGAGATTTTGCACAAAGAGACCTAAATTGGAAGCATCTGCAAAGCAAGCTTTCAAAGGAGAGAGCACAAAACAAATAGCTGCAGTGCAAGAAAAAGCCCTTGCACCACTTGGCTGGGATAGCAGTGTGGGAGGGTCCCGGACCCAGGAGGGTGCAAAACAAACAATACTCTTTGTACAAGCTCCATCCAGGGCTTGCACTTGTCTGAGGACTCCCTATCTTACCTTCTGACCGCAGAGCAGCTCCCGTCTCAAGTGGGATCACCAGCAAGGGGAAGACCCCACTCAGCCCCACCATGAATGAACCGATGAGGGAACAGATCCAGGCATCCAGCCGCTCACTGCTGAAAAGGTTTCCCCAGGACTCTGCCTCCTTCTCGCACAGAGGACCAGAACTAGCAGCAGCATGACTCCTCGGGAGCTGCTGAGCTTCACAGGCCACAATCAGAAACAAGGACAGTGTCCCATCAAGCAGAAGCTTTTGTTTTGTCATCGCTAAGTGTTCTCAGCCAGGCTGGCCAATCTCTGAAAAAAGCAGGGGAGAGCAGCTCTGAGAGGATGCCCAAGACTCCCTCCCACCATCCCAGAGGAAAGGCCTCGGTCCTCCCTCAGTATCTTAGCACAGGTATGTGTCCCCATAAGGAACATCTGAAACTTTTCCTGGTTTCAATACAGCACTAAAGGACAGAGAGGCTGTTTATCATCAGGTGTATGAAACTGCACATGAGACATCTTGTGAAGGAGTCTGGCTTTCAGCATCTCCCCTCAGGTGGACTGGACAAGGACTCCAAGTACCCTTGTCCTTGCCTTTCAATGCCCCAAGGCTTCACAGAAAGGTATTGACGAGAGATGCTGTCCAGGTAAGTCTTTTCTTTGCTGTGGAACAGCATCCATGTAACAAATTAGGATACAAGACAGGCAACATAACGGAGGTCCATAAAATCATGAGTGATGTAAAGATGGTGAACAGGGGTAGATTATTCACCATCTCTTCACAGGTAAGTGCTAATAGCCACCACATGAAGCCAGTGAGGGTCAGCTTCAAAACAAAGCAAACAAATGAGACCTTTCACCAGCAGGTAACTTGCGTGGGAGTACTTCTCCAAAAATAATAAAAAATTTTACATGGATTCAACAAAGACAGGACAAGTACTAGAAAGACAAATATATTGATTGTTCATGGTTAGACAGCTCACATTAGACTCAGCAAATCCCCTTATCTGAAAGGAGATGGAGGCTGGAAAAGTAGTTAGAAAATATCATATACACTTGTCCTATTTTTACTTTTTCCTAGAAGGATACTGGGTTAGATGGTTTCTTAGTTAAAATCAGCACGGCTGTTACTAAGAACTCTTCAATCACAAGAAAACTGGAGAGAAGGTGGCATATTAGAAAAATAAAGATAATTACACTCGCATTGGCAAACAGGAAAGGAAAGCAAACGATGCAAAAGCTGAAGTACAAATACTCCTTCAGTCTCCAGAAGAAAAAGTGAAATGTAACAAGCAAAATTAATTTGGAAATGGGAGAAAAGAGCAGGTTAGAAAAGAATGGCTTAACAAATGTTCACAAACCAGCTGTAGATTGAGAAGGAATAATGGCATTCACCTGAAAGCATGTAAGAAACCAGTGATCCCTGAAGCATTAGTGACCATCTTTGAAAGTTTACAGGAATATGGGAAGGCCACAGAAGGCTGGAGAAGCATCATGCCTCACCTACCTTTATAAAAAGAAAAAAAAAGGTGGGAGAAGACTTAAGAAGTTACAGACCAGTAACTTCAATCCTCTGAAAGATTCTTGATCAAGTTAAATGATCAGTTTGTAGTTACCTATAAGATAAGAAAGTGATAAAGATAGCAAAGCATTAAGTAACAGCCAGATAGAAAGGGGCCTAATATTATCAAGACAAAATTCAGGGTGTTGGAACCAATCTAAGAGCTCACTGCAGCTGAAAAGGGCTGTGTTGCCCTTATCCCCCCTCCCTCATGAAGCATCCCCTCCCCATACTCACACCTGACTCCATGAGTGAGTGGGATCAGAACAAACTAGCAGGAAAAACTATGTTTTTTTTAAAGGCTTGGCCCTTTTCCAATTTCAGTCCTTGAACTAAATCACTACAGAAGAAAGGCCCAGCTGCAGTGAGCAATCAAAAAGAAGATTAAAGGACAGGGTCTCAGGGCTCCCATGAAGGAAGACACTGAGCTCCAAGCACAGTGACCATGGACATCGGGTGCAGGGATGATGCAAGAAGGAACCAATGAAGATACTGGCTTGGCTAACTGTGCAAGAACCACTAAAACATTTTGTGGCAAGATAATGTCTGATCAAGTGTAAACTCTACTGACCCATACAATACTTTTTTTTTTTTTTTTTTTTTTTGGGACAAGGGTAAAAAAAAAAATCTCGCAACATAGCAAGTTCAAACCAGCTCAGGATTTTGTGGCATCTTATTTGCAGTGTTTTGATCTATCTGCAGGAACCCTAGACCTACCTATACCATACTATCAAATCAGCCTCAGTAAAGATCAGTACAAAACAGTGTCCTAAGGCGGCGGGGGAATCAAATGGACGTGACAAAACAGTAACTCTGATGTGCCAGAAAAAACAAAAGCACACATGCATTACATTGATTCAGAAATTAATTCCAAGCCAGCAGGCTTATGTTGCTACAAATATGACATTCTGGGACATATTAGTAGCTACACTGTAGGTGTGACGCAGAAGCAGTGACTCCATTCCACTCCACACACGTGAGGCTTTAGCCAACAAACGGCACCCAGCCTCACATACTCTTTAAAAAACAGATGCAAAAATGAGAGACATTCCAGTGGAAAGAAGAATTAAGAGTATAGAAAGCATGACCTGGAAAAAACAACTGAAGAACCTGGGTGTGTTTAGTCTTAAAAAGATAACACTGAAGGGAACAGAACAGTCTGCATAAAATAAAAGTCACAAGAAAGGGGGAAAGTGCTCCACTCTTCTTCCACATTGTAGCATCAGCTCAAATGGTAAACAAGATTCAGCCTGGATATGAAGAAACAAATTTACATAGCGCCAAAGTGGTGACATACTGAAACAGGTTATCTATGATGCAGACTCTTCAGCGCTGTTTTTTTTTTTTTCTTTTGAGAAAAAGAATAAACACCTGATGCAGATGCTCTTTCATTGCAAAGATTAGATCCCTTCTTGAAGTCCCTCTAGCCCTATACCTGTAGTTCAATGTAAGCTGGTAAGATCCTTGTTCTACTGGCAGGACCCTACACGCACAGCTATGGTAAAACTATTGCCACAGAATCCCCCAAATTCCTCCTAGGAAAAAAACCAAACAAACAAAAAAAAACACCACAAAAATAAAGGAAGCTCTTAAAACGTTAGCTGTCCCCTAACTGAACAGAGTTTCTTCTGTCCTGAGTACCCATACAGGCTGAAGCCATCAGCCACAGAGGCATCTGCACAGGGAGGTGACGGGACTCTTCAGGCAGATTACACCAGCCACAGACTTTCTCTCTGCTTACTACCAGCTGCATAACAACCTGCTTTAAAAAAGATTGGCACCCCTTCCAACCCCAGAGTGGGCCTGACGGATGTCCTCTTCCTTTATGACAGGATTGGACCTAGAAAATGACTGAGAACAGCTTACTGTGAGGAGCAGAGCAAAAAATCAGGATTTATACAACCACCACATGCCTACGAAGAGGCAACAAAAACACACAG